TGAATTTTAAAAAGTATGAAATTTTCATGACACTCGGGCCATTAGTTTACAAGTTGTCTACAGGTTGTTCTAATGGCGCTACATTTGTTTTTGTGAAATGATAGAAAACACGGAATTTTGTATGTAGCGTTACTAAAACAACTGGAATTTCTACACTAAGGGTCGGAATCGCATTAAATTTCGACACATAAAAACCATACGGAGCCAGCCGTCTGTCGTCGTCCTGCACTTATTTCTCGTCCTATGAATATATTGAGTGATATGTTGAGTGTTATGTACGTGCATTTTAGATTACCTTAATCCATATTGAATGAAAGTCTTCGACAAATCCTCGAGGATCCTGCTCAGGCAGTTAAGGTACCCATCATCTCAAACCAATAAATGAAAGCTGCGTAGTGTTTTCTTAGTTCTAGGCTTTTGGGGACATATCTGCTTTGGCTTTTTTTACGACTCTAGGAAATATTTGGACAAACTTGTAGGCGTCTAGCGTGCCACTTCGGCACTTACTTATTTATATGTGGTGCCAAATTTTTAACGTAAATTTGCTGTCGACTGTTTAGTATAATTTTTGGCTTACAGTGGTCAAGTAGTGTAGGCGTGTTAAGGCAATCTTTATTTTGTTAGCACACTCTTAACTAAAATTAAATTAAGATATTAAAATTACGGAATATATGTTAAGCAACGGAAAAGAAGAACAAAGAGACTCGATCATTTTACGTTACGATAAAATATATATACCGTGATCAAAGATTAATACCAATGTTCAAATAAAATCGCGCAGGTATATTGACAATAAGAAATTGGTAGTCCGGTACCAAATTTCCCATTACAAGTGTTCCGTTAGTGTTTCAGCTCCGCTTGGTGTTATACGACACAACAAGTACTTTTTCCGATTTTTACAATGCGAGCAAAAACGATCAGAATGTTACAGGAAATCTTTGATGAGCAAACCTTGTCGGAAAATAATGTTTAAAAGAAGATCGAGAACGGGGTGAAGACGAGAAGAGCACTCACAAAGATTCGATACAGAAACCGTCGATTAAGAATTAGTGACTTTGCTGTCGGTGCTGGCATTTCAAAGGGATCAATAAACAACTATCTTTGAAAAGATAGTTTCCGCCTAAAGCGCGTCAAATTCCGATTGGTATCACAAACACTCATTTTCTGCATTGGTTCTTCGGGACCGTTTAGCTAAAAGTTCAAATCTTGTCGACCTGCAATTATTGTGTTCAACTAACTCAGCAGCAAGTGCCATCTGCCTATTTCCTAAACTCAAAAGACCACTCCGGAAAGGGAGGGAACGTTTTGATTCGCCTGAAGAGGTACAAACTGAAGAGGAGAGAGCTTAGAAGGTCATTTATATTTCGATTATATTTCGTTTATAACAACTGTTTCGAGGATTGGTTGACCTATAAGTATATTGTCTGAAGGGGGAATACTTTGAAGGCGACGAAATAAATTTGGAATAATAAATAGATCTAAAAAGATACACTTAAATTGGCCGTTGGTTTTGAACGCAGATATTGCAAATGTAAGATCGAACACAATTTACTTTCCAACTTCGTGTAGTACGCCTTTATTAGATTGTACAATATGTACCGTAAGTCAGAATATGCAATTAACTTTTCCATAAACTGCAAATGAAATCATAAACTTAACACATTTCGATCTACTACATTTCGATCTGTACAAAATAAAAAGCACTTGAACGGGTTTATTGACATTTTAAATAAGCCGGAAAGAGATATAAATAATACATGAAAACGAACGAAATGACTATGAAAGAATATTTCTAACGCATGTCAGGCATGACAGCAAAAAAAAAGTGATATAACATATTAACAACAAATTTCAACAAAGTTATGCACATACATTCATACATATATAAGATAATCATGTCCTCAAAACGTATATTAAGTTTGTCGCTAGATTTGTACGATTCTTGGGAACATATCCACACACAATTATTGTGAGTAAAGCAGATAGTGACAGTGAAATGGATTTTAAGGGATATTCGTTCAAAATTTTGGAACGATATTTAGCAGAGACATGTTCCAACATTTTATTCAAAATTATTAAGGGAGTCTGTGTCCACACAAATGAGAGAGAAAGGATATAAATGACGGCTAATTAACAGCGTTGCTGCTGTTATTGATAACAGATGCCCAAAAAAGTCCCCAAGAATCTTGTATAGCTCAATTTTGAACAAAATGTTGGAACATCTATGTATTTCATTGTCCCCGATTTGAGATATAAGCTTTTTCATAAAGTTCATCTTGCGGAACCAAAAATTGGAAACTGTTTATACGTCATGTTTACATTAGCTTATGTGAGTTTGCGGTTTTGAATGAATCAGAGGAGAAAATTTGGTGCTGGACTAAAAGGAGCTCTTAACTTGCTCTACATGCAACGCTTCTTGTAAGATGATCGCAGAGTGGTTGTCACCTTATCATAGTTAGACGCAAATGCTAAGGCGCAACTGGTAGTCCATCAGCCTCCGTAAATTATCTAAAGAAAGTCCACTAAGGCCCATTTGTATTATATTGTATCTACAGACATCCCATATATTAACGTCTTAACATATGAGTTACTGCACTCTCTGCAAGTGTGATCTTTCAAGATAATAATCAATAAATTGTACACCTCTTGCGTGATACAAGTTAGGTATATGCATGTATCATGCATGTATGAGAGGGATTTGATCATTGGGCTGAAAATTTTTATTTTAAAAAAGTATTTGTTACGTTTACTGCAAAAGTTTAATTTATTTATTTATTTTTTGTTCTTGTTTAGAGTAAACGGTTGATAGTTTTACTTAAATCCTTAAATTTTATTTACTAGACTTCACGTTTGCGTATTGCTTTTACAACAACTCTCAAACATAGAGGAAATTAATATGTTTTTGTGAACATTTCGTGAATCTATATGAAAATACCTTTCAAACAAGTTAAGAAACTCAAATGCTGCTTATGGGGACTATTTTTAACAATTCTTCGTAATTTGATAGGTTAGCAAAAAGCGGTTATGGAAACACATTCAAATGTGAAACTCTATTGCGACCAACCTCTTTCGGGAACTATTATTAAGGAATTTTTAAAAATTAGATACTTGGCAAAGAACACGTGTCTAACTTACACTAACAGAAAATCGAATTATTTTAACCTAAGGTGACCAGAACGCTTTGGTTGCGCACGGAACAAAAGGGTTGAATTTTTGAACTTTACATTTCATTTTTTCTTCACTTCTCTGCAAAGAGGGAGAAGAGTTAATCAAAAAACTTTATACAGTTTTTCGAAAAGGACCGTTCCATTATATAACGGCAATTCGAATCAGCAGAAGGAAGGATAGGAGTTGCTTTGCGACATAAATCTCTAATAAGGCATATATGTTCTTAAGCAGATTCGATCGAACCGATTAAACCCCGTCGGCCTGCTCGTCCCTGTGCTATTGAAAAACTCTAGATCACAAAAATGGAAATAGAAAGTCGATACTCAACATCTACAGTCTTAATTCGCGGCTAAATTTAGACTCCGTAATTGGACGTGATCCGCTGGCAACCGCGTCTATATAAAGCACACTGTAACTCACATTTTATGCACTAATTTGAATTTTAGGAAATAAGTTTAAACTATTGTATAAAAGTTTACGATCAGCAAACAGAGCATAAAAATGAAAACTGATATAATTATATTTTAGGTCAGATAAAGAGTATCAGGGTAAAATTGGTCCGTATAGTCCAAGGGACAAAGGCGAATATGACTTTCTTTGTTTTCTTTCCTCATCAGAAGAAGATCGTCTTTTTAATAAAATTAAGAACGGGAAGATTTGAATGTAATTTCAAGATATTTTCGTAGTCGCTTAGGGTAGTTACATAAAGGTGGTTAAGTGGACTTAATTAAATTAAATCAGTAGCTTGCGATAGTGAAAACTCCATTTAGTTCATGAGATAGGCGGGACAAACCAAGTAGCGAACATCTTACATCCCACATACTGTCCACATACCATGCAAATCTATGCAACTTGATATGTAAGTTTATTTCGCCCACGCTTTGTGTATGGGCGTGGGCTAATCATAAATGGTTTTAGCAAATATATTTCTATGCAAAAGCAGCCGGGCAAAGCCAGACATTCAGTAGCCTGCACGACTCTTTTCGTTATAAAATATCAAAACTTTAAGCTTTGTTGCACTATAAATATTCGCCATTTATAAGAAACTTTATATACAAGGGGGATCGATCCTGAAATTTATTGAACTGAGCTTATACATATGTCAAATCAACATTCTCCCATCGAATTTGGATCTTAGTAGAAAAAAAAATTTGTGTATAGTGCATGAGAAGGGGCCTAAAAAAGTGGTCTCATATCGTCCTTATTTTCTGTATTAATTTAATATATCACAAAATGGTGTTTGCCAGCGATTATTAAAATACTCTCGATCGAATTGTGAAAAGTCTAAATTTGTATGTGTAACGACTTTTTAAAATACGTTACAGGGTAAATGGTCACACAAGACGACCCAATCCGAACCTTCTTCAATAGGGTTTGGCCGCGGACTAAAAGATGTCAGTGTATCAAATTTAATGAGAATATCTTAAAAATTGCGATCTGTCGGTCGAACAGAAAATCAAGGACATATGGTTAGACTTAGAGACACAAGGGTAACTCCTCAGGCCAGAAGATCATTTCGAATTGATAGATATAATTAAACCTGGGATATATCTCAAATTCTTGTGGATGTGGCAAACATATCTACAAACTTAGTATACCCTGTGCAACGAGTGATGCAGGGGATAAAAAACGAGTTAATTTTAATATATATATATAATAAGTACCGCGCTATAAGTACATATGTACAATGTAACACTACGATAACAAGATGTGACCTGATTTAATTATCTCGTAATGGTGGCGATTCCATATTATTTTTTTATATTTCTTTATTACATGTTTTGTTTTTATTTCTTGTTTTTATTGTTTTTTATTTTTTTGTGCCATTGCAGACTAATCAAACGCCAGAAAGTGAAAGAGCGTATTTTTTACGTAAAAAGCCGGCTTCGGTGGTGGAGCGTGCAAAATTTGTATGTTACACTTGTGGCAACGATACACCATCCTCGCAACTGAGATTAGTGTATTGTTGTCCTAATGCCGAACGGGAACCGTACTATCCGTTTATTAAAACAATGACCGCTTTTAAAAATGCTAGTCCAATTAGTCCGCAGGGTGAGTACGAATACCTCGCGCTCTTTTACCGTATAATAATAATATTTCCTATTGTTAAATATTTACATGCGGTGGGCAGGTATGGTACAAATTTGCTCAACATGTTATGAGAAACATTCTAGTCGTGCTGAAGGAGGTCAAAATGCGACAACCGGTAGTGTGGGGACAGCAGCGACGGGAGAAAAGGTATTTATAAATTACTTTTCCCATGTAATATTGAAATCGTTTTCCATTTACTTTTCGAAACACACATGCAGACAGTTTGTTATTATTTATAGCTTATAAGGCGGTGCCGACATATAACTCTATCAACATTTTAATCGTTTTGTTAATGCGATTATTATTTGCTTTTTTTTTTTTTTATTATTCTTTTTTTTTTTTTTTTTTTAATAAATTGATATGGGCTTAAGCGAGAAATATGCTGTAATGTGTGAACACTTTAACATTTAATAGTTCGTTTCGAGACGAACCCTGATCGTACTACTACGCTATGAAAAATTGCTTCTTCTTTTTTTTATTTAGGCATGGAATGGGCAACTCGTAACTGATTTCACTCGGAATTTTTAAGATCCTTGCAGTAATATCACGGCATATTTTAAATCGTCCACAACTGTTAGTAGAAATCGTCTCAGTTTATCGGGTACGAGTATTAAAGAAATTTATTTGTCACATTTCGTCATTGAAATCTGACTCTCAACGAATGTACGCCGAAAAGTAGGTTACGGTTAGATTTCAGTTAAGATTCAGACCACTCAAGTGCAAGAAACAGCTTGCTTTGTTTAAGGAGTCTTTAACACTACTCTGAGGAAAATCGAAAATGTAACGAGTTCTTTGTCAAAAGCTTAACTTGAGTTTTATTACGAGTACATCCCAACGCATCATTTCAAGACTTCTGTAGAGGTAGATTTACTGATCTTGATATAAAGTATTGCATAATATATAAATTAAAGGAAAGATACATTAGAATATTAGAGATGCACTAACGCATCGTCAAACAAGTGCGTCTATTAAATCGTCATATCGGAATGACTTGGTCAATAGAGGCATAAGACTAATATTAGCACACCTCCCACTCTCTCTCTCTCTCTCTCTCTCTTTCTCTCTCTCTTTTTCCCCACTTTTTTCTGACCGTTCCCGTATTAGACGTAGGTGAAGTCCCCTGAGTGATTGGTTATTTAAAATAAAAGAACGAAAATATCAACATTCATAACGAACTATATAAAATTTGTCTTTTCTGAGATAAATTCATTTTTTGCCAACTCATACATCTCCACACCTGCTGTATCAATTATCCTCGATAAATTTAATTTGTGGTTTTTTGCTATTTATGACGCTACCCACGTCCACAGATAAATAGACAGACAAAGCTAGATCGACTCGAATCTTAAGATCAAAAGTTTAATGCCTTAACAAGCTATTTGTGAGCATTGCAAACGATGAGGGGTTGAAGTGAGCTAATCGGAAACATTATCGATAGACTTTTCGTTGGTTCTGATAAATATTTGAGCCAAATTCTATGTCAACATTTGTGGAAGGCTCTAAGTTTTAGTTTTTCAGCAGTGTCAAATTTCTAGGTCAATTTTGTACGAACCTGTGGTAGACGAGACAAGAGGGCATCGATCTAAATCGGGTAATAGTAATCAAGTAACGCATACATATTCGAAACGGCTTTTGACCGCTGTTTCAGATTGACATAATTCAAATCGTTAAAAGGAAGATGCAAAACATGATTGAAGAAATTTCCTAAAATCATGGTTGATTATGTGATTACGGAAGAATGGGAAAGAAGTTTAATTTTTTATATATTATGTTGTAATTACATCAGGGCCAGCCGGCGCCCACAAATATACATCTCCTACTGGTCATAGCTTAGTGTGCTTCTCAAAATATTTAATCTGGTGATTATTTTCTACGTACATAATTTTATTGAAGATTTTTTACTTTGCAAACGATGCTTTAGTAGGTCTACTCTTTGTCTAATACATTCATCCGTTTTTACATGTAAATGTATATGTGCACATAAACATGTGGAAAATTTTCTCATTGTTAATTAAATATTGTTCTATCAACGTCTACTGCTGCTGCTTGCATTTATATTCTTCTCACATGATCAGTCCATTTAATTTGCAGCGATATGAAATCATTGCATGTTGTATGTTATGAATACAAATGCAAAAATAAGTAAGAATTCTGTACTCGGCTTCGGGCGAATCTTAGATGCCCAATGAAAAACAAATTATAAGTTACAAAAATCATTTTTTATTACGTATGCGTAATTGTGGGCAGTAGCTTGGAATTTGCTTTGAACTCTTAGATTTTGAAATTTTTTAGAGTATTGACCACATCTATATGTACATACATATATAAAAAAAAAAAACAAATAATGAAGTTAATGAAAAGCATATATCACGTTTTGACGGCTCATTGCTTTTTAGGTTATGTAACATAGTACATTTTACATTTCGAAATCGAAATTTTGCGTTTTTTAATTGAGATTTCCTCACGTCTTTACGTATTAATAGACAAATGAGGCTTCAGGAATGTTCTTCATAAATTTTTCTAACTTAATGGAAGGATTCCCCCATGTGAAAAGTTTAAATAACTTAGAATATCCCGGTATTCACATTTTGTTTTGCGAAGTATCAAAAAGTTAAAAACTTTGTTTCCGGGCAATATCGACCTAGCCTATATCAATAATGAAGCTGAGCTGATATAGTCAAACTTTAGTAAAATTTACTTTTTTCGTCAAAGAACCATCTTGTCACATAAAGGTTAAGTATATTTTCATAAATTGTATGGAAGTGGGTCTTGTCCGCGGACAAGACTCTCCTTGAGTCAACATTTAAATATCGAAGAGATTGAAGCCTGCGGGCTAAACACAAATATGCATGTACAGATAGACACGCAGACGAATAGACAAGCTTAGATCTATTCAGAAAAGTATTCCGAATTGATCGGATTATGATTTTATATGGATCGGCGTTCTGGGTGCTCCGTACATCCGCACTTAATATAAGTAACCCTTTATCACGAGTACTGTAGAGTATAAAAAGCTGAAGCAACAACAATAACGGTATTCTTAGCATATACATATATATATACGCATATGAATGAATAAGATTGAATTAATGTGTATGTATATGTTGAAATTACTTCCACAATGCAGATAAGAAATGTCAGTAAATGTCGGCGAAGAAGGTGCCTGATGTAACGTAAATGATGGGAGAAGATTTAAAAAATGTATATACATATGCATTTATATACATTTACATAGTATATGGGTGATGAGGGTTATCGCTGAAACAATTTGTGCTACACACATTCATAAAAAAAAATATAAGCTTTTATAAGTTAAAGATCAAATTGTTTTATTAAAAAGGTGCTTAATTTTTATTATCTACAATAGTGATAAGAGGCGGAAAAGCTGAGCAAATAATGAAAGTAAAAATCTCTCGCAGATTACTAATGATGATAAGCATATATCGTCTTTCTTGTCGTATTTATGTGATTATGAGAATTGCCGATTAATGTAGAAAATTATATAAAAAATATTTTTTTTTTTTTTTTTTTTTTTTTTTATATATATTTTTGGTTGATTTATAAACAGATTTCGAGTTTCTTTCCGCTTTTTATTAGTAATTACAGAGACAGATTTGCTTGTTGATATTCGCTTATGTTAGCATGATAGATAGATAGATGGTTATCTAATCTCAATGATACAATGTGCTATTATTCAAGTATGCAAGGCACTCGAGACATTTAAAATGTTTTCTTAAGGATTGAAGGTCTTTTTCTTTTTTCCCCTCGTCTTTTCCGTTTTTTTTTCGCTAATCCCCCGAAACTATTTAAAATACTTCAATATATTGTTAGAGACTGAACAAGGCTGTATGTAAGAGTGCTTCGCATAGTCATATGGGAGCAGGTAGGCCGACCGCATAAACAAACGTGTGAAATGTTTGAGAGCTTTAAAGATAAGGGAACAAACCTACTTATACAGAACTTTTTGAATTATAAACTATTTTTTACATACTTCAAAATATCTATGCTCTCCCTCCCTATCGGTATAAGTTTTACTACATATCAATAGAAAGATTTAAAAAATACTTTTTTTAATTTTGCTAATATAAATTAAGTTAATATATATAAATAAAGTCATAGTTTTTTATTGGCATTAAGCATTACTGCCTAGTAAAACCACAACTTGATTAAAAAAAAAAAGAGGAAACAAATTAATCATTAACACTTTCGCATTTCAAAACTTGGCTTTTGAGATTATTCTCGGTAAGTCTCATATTTCGCTAATCTTGTGTAAGAAGCTTTACTTAATCAAGTATCACTCCGTACCGAATACATCTGGCAAGGTCTTTAGTTGATGAGTTAAACAATACATAGTCGAGTGTTGCCATATTTAACGATGAATTTTTTTCTTTTTTACATGGCGACCGATCTTTCTTTGAAACTCCACTCAATTTTATTAGTTCACTAGCAGCAGTTCTATTACTTTTAAAATACTTCGGTAAGCTATGCGTCTCTGGTAACTTTCAATACATAGGATGGCCTTGAAGCAATCGGTATAAGGGTTCGTCGTCAATAACGAGTATTGGCAATTTTTCACTTACAATGCTGCAATGTTGGCTATGTGATATCATTGTCCGTCACTCAAAGCAGTCGATGTTTATCAGCAGCGCTTTCCTTTGCATTGAACATTAGAAGTGATGCTACCCGCAGAAGGCGTTTTTGGCACATAATTCGACCTATTCGCACGCGAAATAATATATACAGTAGCAGCTTAAAGCTTAAAAATAATATTCTTACATAGACTTGCCATCAGTATTATGTAGGGTGCTATACGATATTAGTTATGTTCTCTCTCAGAATACTTGATAATGTTTCAGTTTTGATAGATCTTTCCTTAATGCAATGTCGGAATAGTTTAGGTGGTGTCACTTTTTGTTTTTCTAAAGTCATTCTACATATAGAAATAAACCAGTTCGGGATAAGTTGTCTGTAGCTTGAAAATGATGTCAAATTGTTGCCTTACGAATAAAAACAAACATGCCAATGGTAAAAAAAAAAAGATGTTCGTTATTACAGTTCCGTCATGCATATAAGGAAAAATAGGAAAGGCAAAACAGATTTGCGTAATGGCAGACAAAAAAAAAAAACTTAAACGAGACAGAGAAATG